AAAAGATGGTAGATCTAAGTCACGATTTTGACAACCTGTTACACCAATAACTTGAATCTGACGGCCATTTTCTTTCATGTTGACGTCAACAACTTTTTGACAACATTACTTGGAAATTCTGTGTTTGTGAAATGATGATTATGGAAATATAATTGTTTTTTCGGATGTTAAATATTTGAATTCAACAGAAAGATAGATGTGGCTATGGGCAGGATAAAGTTATGGAAACAGATTTGTTGTTATTTGTGTGGGGATGTATTGAGGGGTATGTGTTGATTTCATCAGCTGTTAATGGTAAACATGTCAACAAGTAAACATATGTTGTTTACTGCATCAATGAATTAAGGATGAAATGTCAGCCACAACTTTGGTGTAGGAAATTTCATCATGTAAACATTGACTATGTCAATTAATGCAAGAAAAATTGAGTCCCTTGAATTGTCTGTAAGAACTTTTTGGGGCAATAGAATAGAATATCTTCATCACCATTTTTTCCTGTGTACAATTGTCAACACCTAATTCCTGTTTGCCTTATTTACTTTGAATATTTCAATATGTTGAATGAAGTTAAAATTTTTCATCCCATATTTGTCTAGTACTGCTGTACAGAATGACTTCATATTTGGTCTTCAACTTGACATCGATGAGTTGTAATGCTTTAAAATTTGTTGGACAACATCTTGACCTGTTCTTATATATGAGATGCATAGGATAGAAATCGACCTTATGTAGTGCATGTATACATGTACATGTATAAGACTTGGATTGATTTTGGAACATTAAAATAGGAAACAAAAGATGGTTTTTGGTCTGTTTTGTAGGGTTCTCATAAAACTCAATTTTCAAACAGTTATAGACATTCTGTAGAGATTTTGTCAACCCGAAATAGGTCAACAAATGTATATAGATATTCATTTGCATAAGGTCGATTTCTATCTGATGCAGCTCATATTTTGAATTACGAGTTCGGGTATGCGTGCTTAGCATTGACATTTGGTGCATATTTTGGTGCTTAATATAAAAATAAGAAGATGTGATATGATTGCCAATGAGATAACTCTCCACAAGAGACCATATGAAAATTAACAACTATAGGTCACCGTACGGCCTTCAACAATCAGTAAAACCCATACCGCATAGTCAGCTATAAAAGGCCCAAAAATGACAAATGTAAAACAATTCAAATGACGAAACTATAGAGAAAACTAACGGCCTGATTTATGTACAAAATAATGAACGAAAAACAAAAATGATAGGATGAATAAGTCAATGCTACTTAATTCGACATTTTTATTTTGCAAATTATCTTAATACATATATATATATATACCATTTTGCTATAAATGACAATAGCTGAACCAGAAAAGAACATTCCCAAAAATAAGATCCTGATTAAAATGTAATCCAAATGTTGAACCAGAAAAGATCATGGCCAAGAATGTTTGAACCTGATTTGAACATGTCCCAAATATAAGAACCTGATGAGAATGTGATCCAAATGTTCAACCTGAAATAAACATGGCCCTAAAGATTTGAACATGTCCAAAATAATGAACCCAATAAGAATGTGGTATATCATGTCTCAAACCAGAACAGAACATATGGTCTGAAATGGAAAGTTGTTTGAATATGGTCAAGAATTTAGAAAACCAGAATTGAACATGGTCTAGATTGACCATCAAAGTTGTAACAATATAAGCTGATACATAAATTTTGTATTAACATGACGTTTTCCATATATTTTCCATATATAAGGGTTAGTTGCCCTTCCTGACTACTTGAAAAACTTCTCCTCTCACATTATGACAACAACTTCTCCTCTCTAATTGTCATGACAACTTCTACTCTCACATTATGAAGACAACTTCTCCTCTCACATTATAACAAGAACATCTCTCACATTTTGACAAGAACTTCTCCTCTCACATTGTGAAGACAACTTCTCATATTGTGACAAGAACTTCTCCTCTCACATTGTGAAGACAACTTCTCACATTGTGACAAGGACTTCTCCTTTCACATTGTGAAGACAACTTCTCACATTGTGACAAGAACTTCTCCTCCCACATTGTGAAGACAACTTCTCACATTGTGACAAGAACTTCTCTTCTCACATTGTGAAGGCAACTTTTCATCTCACATTTTGATGACAACTTCTTATCTTACATTGATTAGTGTTTAATGCTACTTCCAGCACTAATGTTACTATTTCTTGGTGGTCAGTATTTATTGGTGGAGGAAGCCGGAGGGCTGGAGAGAACCCAGCCTTTGATAGGAAAACTGACAATCCTGTGAATTAAGATAGGAGTCTTGCACATCTGCCACATGTGGGGATTCGAAATCACAACTGCAATGTTGACAGGCTAGTGATACAGTAGTTTGACTATTTAGACCACCAAGACTGCCATAGATGCCCTTTTATCTCATATTGTGATTACAACTTCTCTGTTCACATTATGAACTCAACTTCTCCTCTCACATTGTGACAACAACTTCTCCTCTCCCATTGTGATGACACTTCTCCTCTCACACTGTGACAACTTCTGCTCTCATTATGAAGACAACCCAGCCTCTCACATTGTGAAGACATCTTCCCTCAAATTATGAAGACAACTCCACCTCTCACATTGTGAAGACATCTTCCCTCACATTATAAAGACAACTCCATCACTCACGTTGTGAAGACATCTTCCCTCACATTATGAAGACAACTCCACCTCTCACATTGTAAAGACATCTTCCCTCACATTATGAAGACAAGTCCACCTCTCACACTGTGAAGACATCTTCCCTCACATTATAAAGACAACTCCACCTCCCACATTATGAAGACATCTTCCCTCACATTATGAAGACAACTCCACCTCTCACAATGTGAAGACATCTTCCCTCACATTATGAAGACAACACCTCCTCTCACACTGTGAAGACATCTTCCCTCACATTATGAAGACAACTCCACCTCTCACACTGTGAAGACATCTTCCCTCACATTATGAAGTCAACTCCACCTCTCACACTGTGAAGACATCTTCCCTCACATTATGAAGACAAGTCCACCTCTCACACTGCGAAGATATCTTCCCTCAAATTATGAAGACAACTCCATCTCTCATACTGTGAAGACATCTTCCCTCACATTATGAAGACAAGTCCACCTCTCACATTGTGGGGCCATTATGGTTACCGGTACTCTTGATCGACCCTGATTAAATAATATTTGTATATTTGTGTGGAGGGGGTCACCAGGGATACACTTATTAAATATTTCATGACAAAATAAATGAAAATGATAAATATATAGAATTTATTATAGAATGTATGTTTTAACTGTTAACATAAATACACAAGTATCTAAAGTAAGGAAAATAAACTAGAAGGTCATTAAAAATCTATATTCAATCCTAAAAAAAGAGTGATATATAAAATTGTTCAAGGTTGTCAGGGAACACAGTATTTAAATTAAGTATTGATTATTTATGTCAAATTTCAGACTTGACATCTGATGTTGTATTTTGTTCAAGCTGTCACACCAAATCATGTGAGATTGGAAATATTGATCCCATTTACTGCAGTAAATATTGATTCTATATATAGGCTAGGGCAGATTATAACAGAAATACAATTCTTCAAATACAATTATTTGGTATTTGTTGCAGTGCATGAAAATATTTCTTATTTGGTTTTAGTGAAATAAAGATTTTTTTTTCAGTTTGTGAAACTTTGAATTAAGATTTGTTTTGTGTTTTAAGCAGACAGTTTGGGTCAATGTCAATGAGATGGCAACCCAATGACACAAAAAAAAAGACAAAAGACATCATAAGGACAACATGTGGTCTTCAACAATAGAAAAGGAAACATCTTTACAATATGTCAAGTTCGAAATAGCCATTAGTCTTAAAAAGTTTAAAGGAGATAGTCAGAAAATTCTTCCACCAAAGCTGAATTGCTAAATTGACAAGAAAACATGGAATCAGGACTTATAGCATATTATATGAAGAAATGCAGGAATATTTTGTTTTTCCTGGTAATAGAATTAGTAGTTAGATCTAGTTGCATCAAAAGGAAAGCCAATGCACTTGATGTTAATAAAAACAGATGTTTAAGTAAAATTTCAATGAGGCAGTGACCCAACAACATTAAAAAAAACTAGAAAAGACTTTTTTAGAGGTCATTGACACAAGGACTTCACCATTAAGTTATTGTCTATTCCATATATAAAGCTCTAGAACACTAAGCATATCATGATGGTCTGGATGGGGTTCACAGAATGAAAAATAATGGTCCCAAAAATATAGAATAGAGAAAACTGCTTAAATATTTAAAGAATATAGAAAGAAACCTCAAACCAGACCCTCTGTCATCCTTTACAGGACCTGACTTGTCAATCTAATGAGGTCCTGTTAAAGTGCAGCTTTTTTAATGTGTTTCATGGATTTTATGAAGATGTAACTTTAGCCTTAAAACTTAAAGTACAACAAAGAACTAAATTTCTGTTGATTTGAACTGTGCCAAAAAAAAATATTATTTGCGTAAAACCCAGCTTCTGTTATAAGGTTATTGGTTATTTTGTCTGAAACTTTATACATGTAATGTTTATTTGTACTGTACATGCATAAGTGATTTTCTGACCTGGCAGTCACTTTATGTCTGACAAATTTTTTATATACCCTTGGGAGTCTTGAGCATAAAATTCTGACAATAAGTGTGAGTATACTTTTCACCACTTCATGTACACACCTTATTGTGGAATATATATATAACTGGTCTCAAATTTAGCCCAACTATGTTAGATCTTCAAATTTGCATTAGCAAAGTTTTGTTCTTCCCTCAGCAGGATTCGAACCTTTGCTTCTGTGACATCATGGCAACACCGCCTGCACCTTGTCCAGCGCCCTAGACCATATATATATATATACTTTGCACAACATCTTGTGCACCTTCTTATTGTGCAATTGCTGACAGATTATTATATTGATGTTTATTCTTTTGTCTTGTAGATGACTGGGAGATACCGTTCGAAAATATTACAGATTTACAATGGTTAGGGAGCGGAGCCCAGGGCGCAGTCTTCCTTGGCAAACTAAACGGAGAAGAAGTTGCTGTTAAAAAAGTCAGGGACGTCCATGAAACGGACATTAAAAATCTTAGAAAACTTAATCATCCAAACATCATTTCATTTAGGTAAGAAATAAATGTTAAAGTATCATGAAAAACATTTTTTTGTTTTCTCAAAAACAGGTAATTTAGCCCCCCAAAAAATTATTTCTGACACTTAAACAGTGGAATCATATTTTGCAAGTTTTCCTTACAGAGAAAGAAATTCTTATATTTTCTGTTTTAAATGCAGTTTTGTTAGAAATATTTTGTAAAGAGGTTAAATCTAATTTTTTTTTATTTTTACCCTAATCTTGGAAAACTGCAACATTTCTAAAAAAAAAAATTCTCGTATGAAAGCTTTAAATCTATTTCCAGCAAATGCCTAACCTTTTCAATCTAATGTAAACAAAAAACAGGTCAAAAATAGGAAACTGAATGAAAATTCTGCCTTCAAAAAGAGGTGTGTTTCTTTTGTTGCCTTATATTTGCATCATTGTTTATTATAGCTGCCTATATATTCTTTTGATTTTTCCACACAGATGAATACCAGTTGTAAAGGTTTTCGTGGTTAGACTCTATAGGTTAACACTTGTATAATATTTCAACCATCTGAGAAAATTTATCCCTGAATAAGCAGAAAAATCGTATATTAACAACTCCCACATAAGAATATGATTCTGACGTCAATTTCCATCGGATGTTGTATTTCGGTCAATATTTTCAAACTTGCAGACGACAATTCAATAACGTTTGTGTTTTTCTTCTTGTAAATTGTATAATTTAATCAACAATTTTATCATTTGTTCAACATGTGTTTTAAAAAAAAATATTGAATGTAATTTGAATGAAACTCAATTGTTGTAATCTAAGAGAATTTATTAATGATAAATTGATTTATAGTCTGTAATTAGACAACAAGATTTTTTATAATACTAAATTTAATTTTGTTTAATTGAAATTCAATATTTTAATGGAATTGACACCCTCATAAATTTTGAAGTGGAAATCAACACTATTAAAAATCAATTAAGAATTGAAAAACATAGATAGCTTGTTCAGAAAGCTAGGTGGTTATTTTTTAATTATTTTTTTTAACTTTTTTTCTAATCTGAAGCAATTACCGGTACAATAATAAAAGCATCCAACATGTCCAAGTAGCCAACCTACTAATTGGTTATTAAACTGTTCATTTACTGTTCAGAGTTCTATTTAAAAATGTACCTCAGTGACCAGGTGATCTTAAGTAATTAGTCTACAGTGATCACTAGCTTGTTTTTCTGCCTGCTAAAATTACTAAATCTCTCTGGCTTCCTCCACCAATAAAAACTGACTGCCATGATGTAACCAAGTGCCATGAAGTCCAACAAACATCAATTAAAAAAATATGCTGTTACAGAATACACTTTATTTTTTGTGGATTTTGTCATTTTCATTCTGTCCACAGTAGGAGTGGTTCCATATATAACTAGCAAAACTTTATGATGGCCTACTTAGCCCATCCTATGAAGTGGAAATAATATTTTTTTCTTTCAAAAAAAGACATAAGACTTGCAGATGTACCTCACCTTAGAAAAATAAGCTTTTGTATTTAGGTTCATACTGACCAATATGCAATTTGGTTTTCAATAATGATCAATTATGATTATAAAGCTGTAAGGTTTTGGTGCATAAGGTATGTTCCAGTCAAAGAGTTTGGGGAGACAAGTAAATTAAAAGATGATAATGATGGATAGCTGCTTAATGTCCAGCGGCAAATTAATATGCATATTCAGGATGAGAATATGTTAATGTAATATGAATATTTGAGTCAGATTTTTAACGTGCTAGTTCACAAGGCAACAGTCCACAGGAAGACATGTCATCTTACCCGGAAACATTATTCCGACTCCTAGTCTACCAGTCTTTGCTCTTACTCCTTAATGCTGCGTGCTTAGTGGAGAAGCAGCAAATACCAATTTTAAAGTCTTTGGTTTGACCTGACCTAGTAAATAAAAAGATGAGAAGTAATTAAAAGGAATAGTACCCTTGAAAACTGTATTTATAGAACAATGCATTATATAATATTTATATAGCATGGAACATTATAAAACTGTCAAGACTGTTACATTAAATACCATTAAAGTCACTGCGACTATCAAAATAGTGAAAATTATTTGCTGCAAAATCTCTTATGTTTACAGTATATATATAAGTATAACCTGTTATAACAATACTGTAGATTCATTTTATTTTTTCGTGGATTGAGGAAACATTGTATATTCGTGGTTTTGCCAAAGTCTGCACACAAGCCTATAGAAAATGGGTATTTCGTTGAACGTTTGAATTTGCGGTTCACCTATGTTCTCTAAATCCACGAAAATTGGTATCCTACAAATCTATTTTTTTTTCACCACCTAGGGGCATTATGTTTTTCAGTCTGTGGGTCTGTCCGTCCGTCCGTCCGTCTGTCCATTCGTCTGTTTGTCCCTCTGTCCCGCTTCAGGTTAAAGTTTTTGGTCAAGGTAGTTTTTGATGAAGTTGAAGTTCAATCAACTTGAAACTTAGTACACATGTTCCCTATGATATGATCTTTCTAATTTTAATGCCAAATTAGAGTTTTGACCCCAATATTACGGTCCCCTGAACATAGAAAATGATAGTGGAGTGGGGCATCCATGTACTATGGACACATTCTTGTTTAACCAACTTCAAATATTTTATTGCACTAATACCTGTGAACAATGTCCTTTAGTGCTACAACACTGGCTCTAAGGTTCCTCTGTGTGTTGTTAATTGCTAATTATGAATTCACAGGATTCTGTTTTCGTTTTTTCAGGGGTGTATGTACCCAAGCACCATGTTACTGCATCATCATGGAATATTGTCCATATGGACAACTTTACGAAATACTCAAAGACGGAAAAGAAATTCCCCCTGCTTTGATATTGGACTGGTCCAAACAGATAGCAAGTGGGATGAATTATCTCCATAGTCATAAAATTATACACAGAGACCTCAAATCACCAAAGTAAGTTATATACAGAGACCTCAAATCACCAAAGTAAGTTATACACAGAGACCTCAAATCACCAAAGTAAGTTATACATAGAGATCTCAAATCACCAAAGTAAGTTATACACAGAGACCTCAAATCACCAAAGTAAGTTATACACAGAGACCTCAAATCACCAAAGTAAGTTATACACAGACACCTCAAATCACCAAAGTAAGTTATACACAGAGACCTCAAATCACCAAAGTAAGTTATACACAGAGACCTCAAATATCCAAAGTAAAGTTTTGTACAAAGGCCTCAAATCGCCAAAGTATGTTATACACAGAGACCTCAAATCACCAAAGTAAGTTATACACAGATACCTCAAATCACCAAAGTAAGTTATACACAGAGACCTCAAATCACCAAATTAAGTAATACACAGAGTCCTCAAATAACCAAAGTAAGTTATACACAGAGACCTCAAATCACCAAAGTCAGCTCTGTACAGAGACCTCAAATCACCAAAGTAAGTTATACACAGAGACCTCAAATCACCAATGTAAGTTCTGTACAGAGACCTCAAATCACCAAAGTAAGTTTTGGTACAAAGGCAAACAAAAATTTATTCTTCTTTCCTGCCTCCTGGTAAAAAAAATAGCAAAAGTAGATAAAATTATGTTACATTTAAAAACATTTTACATAAACTATACAGAGAAATTCTATAGATCTGGACATTAACAGCGCTTAGCCAAGAATGTCTGGACTTGAAAGGTGCAGAAACAAAAATGTCTGGACTTTAATGATGCAAAACCAAAAATGTTTTATGCAGGAACCTCAGTATAAAAATAAGGAGATGTAGTATGATTGCCAATGAGACAACTATCCAAATGACATGGAATTAAGCATCTATAGATTATCATCCAGCCTTCACCAATGAACAAAGCCTATACTATAAAGTCAGCTATTAAAGGCATAGACATGACAAAATGTGAAAAAACTTCAATCTAGAAAACTAAAGGTCTAATTTTTGACAAACAATATATGAAAACAAATATTACAGACACATCACTAGGTAAATAGCTGATATGTTGGGATAAATATTTAGAACTTAAAATGAAAATGTGCAAGATCTTAAAACACATAGAATTTTTATGGCAGTATCAGTTATTACAAAGAGCTATTATGGTTTATTTATAATCTAGTTATCTAAGCAAATTCTTCTGTTTACTGCAAATTCTGAATATTAGATTACCCAATAATATTGACTAAAATAGGCTACAATAATATTCCCAAGTGTTTAAAAAAAATTGTCCAATAAAAGCTCTCCATATGATTTATTACCCTTCTAAAACAAATATATAAAGTTGTAAACAATTAATTGCATTTGTGATCTGATCTGAAGTATATGCTTCATCAAAGATTTAACATTAATTCATTCCCTTTCAAGCTATTTGTTTTGTTAGTTGAGACTTTGTTTATAGCTTTGCCTTCATCAATTTTCATGATTAGTAAATTTTATTTTAGTTTAAAAATAGAAGACAAAATTTAAATTTTAAGCAGATAATACATATTTACTGTAAAATGGATCCACAAGATACTCTTACACTAAATTCAATGTTTAACTGATTTTTTTTAATGAATACTGCCATTACAATATGCACCATTTGGATTTGGATGCAAAATAATTAAATTATTTTGGGAAGAATTTATAGGAAAGGGAGATAACTAAAAATTGTGTAAATTTTAGTTCCAATCTGAATGTGATACTAGACGCAGCTATAATTTTGTAATAATTAAACCATTACAGAATTATTTTAGTTCAAGTATTTGGTTTTGACCCTTAAGCATGAAAAGTTTTGTGTAAAACAATAACATGCAGTAAAAAATTTCTAAAACTTTTGTCTGCTTTATTTGGTAAATTGTTGAAATTTGAAGTAAACATGAGTATTTGAAATAATCACCATTTATCATCATTAGGGTCTTCTCTTATATTGCAATTTTTCAAACATTTACAAAGAAGAAAATGAATTCATAGAATGTTTAAAGGTGGAAGATTGCTAATAATTCCTATTGTAAACTGCCTCAAGGACGTAATATTAAACTCTCATCTATTATTTATGAGGTAAAAGTTGTCATAAGTGCAGAAGCATTACACTGCGTAATTCTTTCAATCCCAAGAGTATTTCAGAATGGAATGAAACGCATGAAATTGATTATTGACTGTTAGTAAACATAATAAAGGTTTTCATTATATAATATGCAGAAATGTATGTAAGGGGCGCTGGACAGGACCTGATACTTGAAAATATTAGGCAATGACTTAGCGTAACAGTGCAGCAACGTCACAAGTCCGTGTTCATCAGCGTTAATTTATCAATGAAATGCACCCTACTTCATTCATACAACCGAAACAACTATCAACGTTTTGTACCTGTAAAAATAGTTTTACTAAATTATCATTGTATTTTATATTCTTAACTAAAAAACATATAATTAAGACAAAATTGCCAATAAAAAGAAAAATGGCAATCTCCTTGAAATTCTGCTGACGAAGACAGTATCAAAAAAAAAAATGCCATTATTCTATATAAATATATATTATAAATTATAGCTTCAAAATAAACTGTGAATACCACCACTGTCAATGTTGTCCTTCAAAATTAAAATTAAATAAAAACATGGTATTTCAGAATGTAGATGGAGCTAGTTTAGAAAAATTGGAGTGTATTTCTTGTCTACATATCTGTGAAATACTTAAATACATTAAATGTTAAATCCATGTGTATTTGTAGTAATTGTGTATTATATAGCGGGTTATTTTCGCGGGGTGTTTATTTTCCCTTATTTTGGCGGGTAAAGGAAAATCACGAAAATAAATTCCACGTAAATTTATGCATACGTTCGGTACGTTCTTATAACTAAAGCGATTTGTAAACAATCTATTTTTCTTCCAGGTCGACGGGTCAATAACAGTTTATGATAATTTGAACAACATAAATGCCAAAAGGGTATTATTTACATATATTTTGTAAAAACTATAAAATGGCTGTGAGGTGTTAATTAGTTTATTAGTGTCAAAAATACAAGAGTGTGAGGTACTCTGTCAGGTATTTTACCCTTAATAATTAGTGTCAAATTATAGAACAGTTGCAAGTCACTTTTGATAATTTTAAAAATCTAATTAGTACATCAAAGGTACGGTCAATTTCGTAACAGATCAACCGTAACATTTACTAGAAGTGTGTACGTCTGTGACAAATATCTTAATACCAGTATTCTATTGAATAACTGTGTCAAAATGTTATCAATAAATAAGACGGCATGCAGGTAAAACAATTTTACACCCGCGATAAAAACCCGCTATACGGTATTCCTTATGTAATTGTAGTGTCTTAATTGTATACTCCTTATGTATTTATTGTGTTTTAATTGTGTATTTATTTTGTCTTAATTGTGTATTTCTTGTGTATTTGTAGTGTCTTGGTTGCCAAGAATGATATTGTTAAAATATCAGATTTCGGGACCAGTCGGACATGGAATGAAAAAAGTACCAAAATGTCATTTGCTGGAACAGTGGCATGGATGGCCCCAGAGGTCATCCGAAATGAACCATGTTCAGAGAAAGTTGACATATGGTAAGATAAATATTATTGAATCAAATTTCTCAGAAATGTATCATTTTCAGTTGTTTGCTTAATGTCCAGTGACAAATATTTGATGAATATACAGGACAAGTCTAAAATAAGGAAATGACATTCAATGTGAAGAAAAAGAATAAAAGGTCAAATATTATTGATGCAACGGAATAAAAACAATACAAAAAACTAAAATAAAACAATCTTTCAATGTAATGGGAACAGTGAATCACATACACATGCATTTGTGATGACCCCCATTTTGCTTTCAGGCATGGAAACTGAGAAAAAGAAATTGATACAAATATAATGTGTTTATCTGTAATCGAAATAAAAAACTTAATAAAATAGAAATATTGATAGAATAGTTCAGTGAGAAACTTATAGCAAGTCTTTATAAAATTTGTGATAGATTATTTATATTTATGTAAAATAGTATTCAAAACATGGATACACAATTAAAATCAAACTTTGACATTTATTCTTAATCTTTTGAGAGTTTGTGGTAAATTATTTAAATCTACATCAAATAGAATTCAAAACATGGATGTACATTTCAAATCAAACGTTGACATTTATTTCAATTAATGCTTTCACATTTATAACGGTATTTTTTTAATGTAAAGATGGCAGATTCAATAAATAAAGGATGAAGTAATTCAAATAGGGACTTGTAGTACCTTTTAATCTCCATAAAACTCATTGCAGATTAATCATATTGTGTAAGATAATAGTATCTAATCCATAATTGCACACTTTTATTCATAGTTTGACATTTATTCCAAGTTATGTTTCCATAAAACAGCAATATTTAATGTTTTATATTTCCTTGTTAATAGTACCATTAGACATTTATTTGTTTTATTAAAAAAATTGCAAATGTGTTCCTACATGCAACCTTTAAATGTGTTGAAGAGAAGTGAAAATTATTGATTTAGCTACAAATTGTTTCATAATTTTGATTGATATTTGAAATAAGCTAATAAATTGGCTACAAATGTGAGACAAAATGTTTTTCAAATGATATGGATATGGAAAGTTTGCAAATAAAAGTGATGGTTTGACCCAGTTTTACTAAAGCTCATACTGTAAATTTAGAAATTATTACAATATTATAAGAAGATGTAGTATGAGTGCCAATGAGACAACTCTCCATCCAAGTCACAATGTATAAAAAGTATACAATGTTAGGTCAAAGTACGGCCTTCAACACAGAGCCTTGGCTTACATCGAACAGCAAGCATAAAGGGCCAGAAAATGACTAGTATAAAACAATTCAAACAGGAAAACCAACGGTCTAATCTATATAAAAAAGAGAAACAAGAAACACTTATAAACCACACCAACAAACGACAACCACTGAACAAGGGGCTCCTGACTTCGAACAGGTGAATACAAATGCAGCAGGGTTTAAACGTTTTAACAGGTGCCAACCTTCACCCTAACCTGAAACAGTAGTGTAATATTACAACATACAATATGATGCTCAACCAGTCGCATTATTCACAATAATTTCTGAATTTACAGTATTTCAATACACGAACACAATACAATTTTCTTCTTTTAGGTCATTTGGTGTTGTCTTATGGGAGTTATTATCAGGAGAAATCCCTTATAAAGACGTAGATTCCTCAGCAATAATATGGGGAGTTGGAAGTAACAGCCTTCATTTACCTGTGCCATCGTCTTGTCCCGAGGGCTTCAAACTGCTGATGAGACAATGTTGGTATGTATTTAGCCCAAGATCCTGGCCCTGTGGTCATAAAAATTTGGAGCAGGATTATCACACTCAGACTCAGAAATCAACCAATTGAAATACTGGATTTGGTGTTTGAACACAAATTTTGTACTCCCAGTACTGAGTAAAGTTTTATGACCGATAGACCTGACTCATAGTTAGTAAGAAGAGCCAGGCAGAATGCAACCACATGTTTACTTTTATTGGATATTAAGAATGATGCATTGTGGGATAGTGTCAAATTGCTGACATATCCACAGCAATAATCATCTTGCCACAAATTTCATCAAAAATCATTTGAAATTCACGAGAATTCTGCAATAAGTTAAATAAATATCTTGACATGATAATCAAAACTTAATGATTTATATTGTTAGTGAAGTTTTAGTTAACAACTAACTAGTGTAGCTATTATACACACATACACAGAAATGCAGTGCTGTACAGTATGGGTAAAATAAATTCTTCCACGTCTAGCCTTACTGATGGAAGCATAGATAAGGCTTATTCTTGAATGTTTAAGAAAAACAGTAGGAAACTTCATGAAGTAAATGCCATGAAAACATTGATTAAAAGTTTTAAATCTAGTATGAATAATTTTGACAGTTTGAAAAAAATAGACCCCAACTTTCAAGTCATCTCAAAATGACCGAAATTGTGTGAAAAAATTTCCAGATCCTCGAGCCAGGATGATAGGCTAGTATGTATTACATCCAAGGTCAAAAATTCTGAAGATTTATCAGACAGTGACAAAGAGTCCAGTAATATCCCATTTAAGATCGATGAAACTGTAGAGTTTGAGTAAAAGGGGAACTCCTACACAGTGGTTGATTGGCGGAGAATCTCAAAATGCATAACTTTTTTTTTTATTGAAACGGAATTTAGATATGAATGTGTTTAGTGAACAGTGTTCCCTGTAAATATCAATGTATATATACTAATATTTGAAATCTAATTTAATAAAACTCCTTAGGGAGTGCTCCTTAGAAAGGAGGAATATACCAGTAACAGTCTTTAGATCTATATAAAATATTTTCAGGTCTCCAAAAGCAAGAAATAGACCTTCATTCCGACAGATTTTAATGCACCTAGAAATTGCCTCCCCTGAACTACTCAACTTTAAACATCAAGATTTTATTGAAGCGCAGGTAAGGATTAAAAATATTTTCATTTGGTACAAGATATCTGGTACTCAAATACACTTACTTGTTGCAATTGGACACTTTATTGTCTAAAATGACTATAACACATGAAAATAAACACAGATGATAATTGAGGATTTGTATTTAGTTCTAATCTTCATTTTTTGGAAAACCTGATGAAAAATAAATAACCTGTCACCTGGGACTAATACATTGTCTAATAGTCCCAGCTGTCACCTGACTTTGAATGTTTATGAATATTAAAAGAGAGGCGAATGATACCAAAGGGTCATTCAAACACATGAGTCCACAAAGAACTGAGAACGACATGGCAAAAAAAAAAGGAAAAACAAATCAAAAGAAATACAATAGTATTCAAAAGGCAACATAGAAATCCAAAGACTAAGTAACATGAACTGCATCAAAAACCTGGGGGTAATCTCAGGAGCCCCAGAAGGGTGAACAGATCCTACTCCACATATGGCATCTGTCATGTTGCTGATGTAAGGAAAAAAAATTGGTGATAAGTAACATTGGAGGAAAAGAGGATGAGATTGTGGTTACTGCAATTGGAAATGTCTCTTGACCTTGAATTTTATTTTAGATATTAAATGACCTGTCATATAAGCTTTGAATTTTGAATATTGTAGACTATATGGAAAGAAGAAATTAAGGAACAGTTACAATTAATCAGATGTGAAGGAACACATATGCCCCACCTAGAGGAGGAGCTAGTCAAGAGGAGGAGGGAGGAGCTAAGGTAAATATTGGTTATATCACACCCACTTGTCTGCTGCAAACTTATAGCAAAGGTATACCCCCTCGCTCACTGCAAACTTAAAAAAATGGAATGCAGGGGCAGATCAAGGATTTATGAAGGGGGATGTAATTCCAGACCACAAAATATATACTGCTGAGTGGTGTAAGTTAAAAAAATTTGGACCATTTTATGCTATGAAATCATATATATCTTGTAAAGCATGAGATAATTTTTTAGGGGCTTTTAAAAGGGGGCATACAGCCTCGTCACCCTACCTGGATCCTTCACTGGAGTCTGGGGTGTTGAAGAGGCAAAAATTACACCAAACAGCTGTAACCAATAAAATAAGGAAATGAATAACTTGTATTTCTGTTCTTCTTCATGACAAGCACTCGAAGATCATCAGTGATGAACCAACAAGCAAGTCAAGATGATCCCTTACATTCTTTTAAGCTTGACTCTGATATTTATTTATAAGTGTAACACCTATATAATTGGTAAAATTTGTATTATTACGTGTATTAGTAAAATGAAATTTGGTTGAAATTTGTTCAGGTACTGTGGAATCATTATTTTATTGTGGGATATCCATTTTGTGGATTTCAAGGGTATAGCTGAACGATGAATTTAAATGATCAAAGAAGTAAAATCTTTCTTAAGGCTTATATGCGAACTTTGTCAAAACCATAAAATACAATTTTTCCTCAAGATGCGAAAATTGGTACCCACGAAAATAAATGTATCTGCAGTATCTATAAAAATTGTCAACATACTTATATGTGAATTTGATATTACAGACATGCACAAGATGTACGAGATCATTATGAAAGAAAGTTGGAGAGAGCCAATAATTTGTACATGGAACTTACAGCCTGTATGTTGCAGTTGGAAAAAAGAGAAAGGGAGCTAATCAAGTTAGTAATTTCTTGAGGTTTATTATAAAGCGGTACTTCTAATACTAATAATAGGGGGTGTTTAACAACCTTGACTACCCATAAGGGTCTAGCACGGTTGGTAAATATAATGAAGTCTGAGAACAGTTTGAACTAGTTTGTAATGAGCTATATTTATTCACTAAATATCTGAAAATTTTTGGGAAAAAAGAAATACAATTTCTTAAAGCCTAAAAAAATAATAACATTTCTTAGAGGCTAATAAAACAATATGACTACTTAGAGGCCTTAAAATAATACAACATAAAACTAATAAAACAATATGACTACTTAGAGGCCTAAAAAAGGTAATACAATTTCTTAGAGACTGCTCTATGATGTATTCAGTTCTTATGTCATTTTAGACACTGGATTTTACTCATACTAAATGGAAATGCATTTTATGTGTACAACAATTTAAGCATTTATCAAATCAATGACTACCTATTTCATATATTATTGATGCAAAATTGTCAATGTAGAATTTCATATTGTAAAAAAGGACCATTGGGTAAAGGGAAATAACCCTTCATTAATCATTAATAAACTCGATTGTGATGCCCTTGGACAATGCAAAAAAATGAGTATTAAATTTCAAAAATGAAAATAAAAGTTAAAATAATATTCGTAAAGTGTCATATATCGTTCATTTTTATCAAGACTACCTGTAGTTGTTCATAATTTCAGTTTTAATAAAATTCTATTTATAGGAGAGAACAACAGCTTGCTATGTATGCAAAGAAAAGGAAAAGTATTGTACGACCAGTAATCAGAGCTCAAGAGAGGTTAGAAAGATTGAGTAAAAAGAGATCTTACAAGTCAGGCTCTGAACCTACAAGGTATTAATACATTTAAAAGTCAAGTCTCTGAACCTACAAGGTACTAATACATTTACAAATCAGTCCCTTAAGTGCCAGTCTGCCTAAGAATCAGGCAGTGATGAAAACATGACAAACAAAAACCCACTCAAGTTGACATTCATTTATGTTCAAATTGTATATTGGTGCACCAACATAACATTCGTTTCCTTTTCCTGTTCTGGAATTTCAAGATATGATTTGGTTGAAATGCACTAGAAATTATTAGTTATGGGGAGCTAACTCCATTATTTGCTATTATTCTAACCAAAAGTTATGTAGATCTTTCTTGAATTACTAGACACACTGAAAAGACCTACTATTTCTAACTCAGGATGAGAGTAACTTTAAAATAGGATGGTTAGGTAGGTGGTTTATTTTTGGCCATGTTTTGAAATTCTTCTAAAATGCCTGATTCTTACAAAAATTGGCACTTATCCTACAAGGTTTTATTTTACCCCCTCTCTTGGGCTATATTGCATTCACCTTTTCCGTCCATTCAATCTTCCATTCGTCTGTTATCTAACAAATATTTCTGTCACACTTTTTTCAAATGCTACTCGACAGAATGACTTCATAAATGGTCAGCAGTTTGACAGTAATGAGTTTTCAAAGTGTGAACACTTAACATGATCTGTCAGACACCTTCTTTCTGTTTGTCTGTTCTTTGAACTCTCAGTATGTTGAATGAACTTTAAATTTATTGTCACACTTTTCTCCAAGTACTAATGAACAAAATTGTTATATTTTGTCTGCAGATTGACAGTGATGGGTTGTAACGTAGGAGCACTTTCGGATATGTTAGAAACTAACTCCCTGTTTGCAGATAATTTAAATTACGAGTGGTTTTTGTGGAGCACAACTACATATGCATTCTTGTCACATTCACAAGGCAGTTTTATTCAAAAATAAAGGAGGGGGGATTGAATTAACTCAGTGCACATGGTATTCAATAATTTACTATGGCAACTTATTTAAAAAACCTTTGTCAGTTAAGGTGGTACCTAACACTACAGGGAGATAACTCTGTAAAAATCAGCTAAATGTTTTAATCAAGTTGTATTGTAAAGAAAATATTAAGCTTTTCAATGATCAAAATTAGTGTTTGTCAAACTGCTATATATCCAATGAAATTTTTCCGAGAAAATGTGTGGTTCAAAGTTTTTGAAATTTTTATATTTTTGTCAAAGGGTCAAAGTAAGTATTTTGTAAAATTTTTATGAAAATTCAACGAGCCAAATTTATTTTAGTCAAGGTGTTAGGTACCACCTTAAATAATGAGCATTGTATTTAGAACACAAATATGCGACTAGTCCAACAGTCAATTATGATTCTATACAGTGCACACACACAAGCAAACACAAAAAATCTCAAGTTTCGATGATACATTATTGCAATTTTGAAGCATCAAAAGACAAATTAAGAGCACGTTCATTCTGGATACACTTTAGATATTGATAAAAGGAATTATGGGGTATACTTCAACGAGACAGCAACAAAACAACACAAATAACCAAAAGACATTTATAACCCAACAACACAAAACAGGCATTTATAGGTCAATACATCTTTACTCTTTTACAACAATGGATAAGTGTTAAGCTTTAAAAGTCTATACAGGTTGTGATTAGCTTGAACAGATACAAATTTCTTATTGAAAAAAAAGAGGAAAAACAGAATTTATTATTAACAAGGTTCCTGACCTTGTATAACATAATAAAGATATTAAATATTAGAACTTTGAGTACTAAACGCTTCTTTTTTTTATAAAACAAATTTTTTTTTTCAGTCCAGAGAATATTAATATGGATAGTAGTTTGACAACAAGTTCAGAACTTGTGTTGCCATCTCCAACTAAACTCAGAATGAGAAAAAGCCGCCATCGAAAGGGAAGTAAAGGATCTTTGAGCAGTATCTTTTCAAGTCCTGCCAAAAGTCCTACAAAAGATGCCCTTCATGAAGAATTACATGCTAAGCAAATGCAGTTACAACGTGATCCAAGAACAGTTGCCCCTGGAGTTTTTAAATATCTGGGGCCAGGTACTGCAGTGAGGGAATACCATTCGATGGACCAGCATGAATATTGCCATAAAGATCATGACTTTGGTTGTCATGGTGATGAAGGTTATAGCTATCAAAATTGTGACAGGGATTTAACGGATAAAAATTTAAACGATGTGTGTTTTGGGTGTGAGGGAATTTGTAGTGACAATACATGTAGTAGTAAAAGATCTAGTAGAATAAGTGTTGACGATAGTCCAACTGCTGACACGGCGGCCTCGTCAAGTCCAAGTCCAGTAGTGGAGTCAAAAAGTATAATTGGAATTGAAAACCAAAACAATGAAAATGTAAATGAATCAAAACCAACGTTACGAGAAAAAGATTCAAATGAGAATTTAAACTGTTCCTTTGACACAGAAACAACTACAGAGAATTTAACGACCACTACAAATGACGTTAATACAGACGATAACACAATTATAAACACTGCATTGAATCGTAGATTAAGTGATCCTCGGAGTTCTCCTTCTTTAAATATAAATTCACATAGGATGGATAGCACAGATTCGGAGCCAGTAAATGTACGATTGAGGGAAAGGAAGACATTTAGAACTGTTAAGGTACGGCAATTTATTAATAGCGGTAAACTGACACATTACTCTGAATTAGCACTTATGAAAGACGATGTCTTTCCTATAGTTCTTCACAAACGAAATAAAAAATTGGAAACTTTCAGATGTTTAAAATTAAGGACACAAAAAGGTCAACCTGAATACTGCAAGCCTATCTTTTAATTATTGGATCTTTTCTAAGGATGTTTGCCACTCTTCCTTGTGACTTTTTGTCAGATAATGGAAATCCTCTATTATTACCTATGTAGTGCCAATAATAATTTTGCCTGGTAAACACTATTCTTCTTTTCATATTTTTATTACATTTAGTTTTAAAAAGGCAATTTTTGAAATTCTTATAAAATCCTTGTTATTTTTTCATAGTTTTTGAAAGAAAAAAGGTGCCAATGTCAAATGTATCAAAAATCTAGAGAGAATCATTTCCCACCAAATTTTCAATGGATTATATCTCAAAAACAAGGTCACGGACCTGACATTTATCTACTTTTTAAGTTCCGCTATTTATATACTATCAATTTATAAGTCTTTTAAAAAGCTTGTTATTTTGAAACAAAAGAGCGAACATTCTTAAATTTTTTGTCTCGTCTGAATCTGTGAAAGTCACGAAAATGAGCATGCTATAGTGATCCAGGATTCAGTTGTTGTTGTGATATTGTTGTCAGTGGTGTAAGTTTTTAAGACCTTGAAGCTTTATGGAATTTCAGGATTATTATTGATAGAAGCTTCTTCAAAAAAAAGGATAACATCTAGAGCAAAGTTTTTTTGTTTTTTTTTACAGTATTATACATTTACATTTAGGTGCAGTCTGCTGGTAGATTTAGATTCAAGAATTTGGAAAACTTTGTCAAAACTTCATGGATTTTTACAAAGTTAAAAATGAAAAAGGCTAAGATTTTCGAAATCTAGAAATAACTTTCTGAGCAAAATTTAGAAAATTGTATTTATCATTTTCCATGTTTTATTGATAAATGGATCTAGTTTTTTGGTAGTCAACATTACACCTTCTCACTGACAGCAGCAGACAAAACTCTGGGTTCAATGGAACCATTTACAATAAGCAGACAGAATAAAATAAATTGCATGCATATATATATATATATATATATATAGGATACAATAAACAATTAAAACAAAACTTTTCTTCAATTAATGGCTTCAATTTCCTTAAACAAAGTAACTTGTCAGTGACACCAATGATTTCAGCTGTTAAAGCATGCATATTTTTTTTTTATTAGATCTCAGATACTATTTAACTAGGTTTTGATGCAGAACTTTTATAGAATTATTAAATTTTAGCATTCAGAAGACTCATGGTCTGAAGAGGAAGGGGAAGTAAGCGAGGATGACATTCGTAGAAGTCGACAGTCTTATTGTTCAACATTAAGTTCGGAAGGTATTCTATCAGAGGAGGAAAATACAAGTGAACATTCTGAACAATTAACCCCAGATGGATTACTATCTACGAACAGTTCAGACAATTTACATTTAGAACTAGCAAATTGTGCAGTGATTCATGTGTCTGACGGACTTTCTGATCGAGAATATACAGTACGAAAAATGAGGGATCAAGTTTCTGTATCTCCGGAACATTTGTATGAGGTAATATAAAATAAATTTTAATTTACAATAATCTCAACTCTAAAGTTAATACTTAATAAAAAACAGAAATTACAAAAAAAATAAAGCTTAAATAACAGAATTATAAAGTTTATAATGTAAAAATGTATTAAAAAAATAAATGTTTGATTTTAGTCAGAGTAGATTACAGTTATTAACTTGTTATCATGTACATGCATCTACAGTTTGGTAAACAAACAGAAAGTCACAACACTTATAGGACTCTAGGTCAAATATATAAAAAAAACAGTAAGTTCAAAATTTCCAAAGTATAAAGATTTAACAATGACTGTATGAGAATTGTACAAACGTAAGGATAGTCTATTTTGTAACCAAAGTAATCTGGAATATTTTTTTTTAACAGAATTCTGACTTAACATCAGATTCGGATGAGTGTTCCGACATTACAGTCTCAACTACTGTCCATCGGCCTGCAAGACGAATGGAAGCTGAAGGATGGTGACGTAACCATAGTTACAGCTGTTAATGTTATTGTAACTGTTTTATAGAAGTGCTATAAATACATTTTTGTAGTTCTGTATGGGCTTTAGAGGTCAAATAAAGGTCAAGTTATGAAATGTGAGAGGATGATGAAATTTGTTGTTGTTTTGAACAGTTTATTATGTCTTCCTTACACTTTCAACAAATCATTTTGAAAATAGCATACATGGAATTATTCCATTGGCATATGTAAAAGTGAAAATTATTATCTTTTAGGTTTAATGGAGCTCTATTTGCATTTTGATGAAAAGGCTGTAAAATTTTCTCTACATTCTTATTTTTATTGAGAACTACTTGAAACTTTATAGATGTACTTTGTTTTATTTGGTTATTGTTAAAGAAAATGGTAACAGTTAAGGATTTGACAGGATTGATATTAATAGAACTTTTCATTAACAGAGATCATTTATTTTTGGCAAAATTGAATTGGATTATTTACAAAGCAAAAATTATTGGGTCACATTGACTGGAGAAGAAAACATAGTTAAATGAAAGTGCAAACAAATGAAATTTCATATTCTATAAATTTTTGAGGCAAGTCTACATATTTTTAATGGCAAATATAATAAATATACAGTCTGCAATTCATCAGTTTGGCTTCAATGTTACCGTAAAACAACACAACATGGCAGTCAAGAAATTTACAGGGAGATAATTTATGAATTTTTATTAAAGAGTTTAGTTAGGGTAGATAACTATTGTGCAATTCCATGTTTGAATGAATGCTCAAGTTTAGATGTGCAGGTTCATATTTATTCCTAATATGATAAGAATTTATTCCATTTTTGAAAAGCAATTCTATTTATATGTATATTTTACATTGTATTGGACCAAATATTGTTACAGATAGTTAAATTATACCATCAAAACTTTGTTATAATTAAAATTATTTAATAATAATTTGATTGTCATGGGTCAGAATGTCTGATTTTGAATCCTAAACCAATTTGATTGGTCATGCATCAGAATATCTCTGATTTTGAATCCTAAACCAATTTGATTGGTCATGGATCAGAATATCTCTGATTTTGAATCCTAAACCATAATTTGATTGGTCATGGATCAGAGAAAACAAAAATTCTTGCCTATGACTCACAAACAAATTTGATTGGTCATTGATCAGAAGGTTTCTGATACTAAATAAAAAGTAAATTTGATAGGTAATGGATAGAATGTCTCTAATTTTGAATCCATAATCAAGTTTTGATGGTATTTTTTAACTCAGTGTTACATAAATTTAGATTCTAGTCTCACATGAAAGTCATAGTCATATCATTTATAAAGTCAAATGGCATTTAAAAGTATTTCTGCTATGTTTTTGACCCTTGCTTGATACAACTTGAAAAAAACTGATATTTAATTTTGGGTCTGCTTCGCTTGATAAAACCCGTAATATCTGCCATTTAAATTTGGATGTGCTTTGCTTGATACAACCCCTCCCCCTTTTTTCAACTGAATTTATTTTTTTATGTCCCTTAATAGCTGACTTTAAATTTAGGAGGCTATCCCTTTTCACTGCATTATTTACATTTAGTTGAATATCAATAAAAGAAATTCATTCAATTATATTATTTGTATTTGTGTCTGAGTGTTTCTAAATAAGCATTTTAGGACTAATTGAAATATTTCTAGAATTATTTAAAAATTGCAGTGGGCAGACAAAAATGAAAAAAAATATTCATTGAAAGGATCCAACTGCAATAGGTATCTAGGAATATTTTTTATTATGTCCTTGTTAGAGGTCAAAGGATGAAGGTTGTGAAGAATTTTATTGAAATGTTGGTTTTTCTTTTAAATACAGAATTATTATTAATGTTATTTATGGTTATTTTGGAATGTTTATATAGGCAACAGAAAAAAAAAATCTTGTTTTTTTAATACATGTTTGCAAGCCAAGTTAGAATTTTTTTTCTCCTTGTATATTTGACAAGAAATCGTTGGCTGTGTTACCTTACCTTTCTTTATATTTAGATATGTAAAGCAATCAATTTTTTTTACTTTATTGCCTCCCTTTAAAGATGTTAGACCATCAAGCATATTTTCCCTCATCTTTAGCCAGGATGTACCTAGCTTACTCTTATCTGCATTCTTGTTTCACGATATGTTAGGTAGATGAGTAGATTTTTCCATTTCGCCTCTCCCTGTTTATAGTAATTAGAAATAAGATGAAAGTATAATTTTGTAACGAAAAATAAGTACTGTTTCTTTGATGTATAGGTAGCCGTGTTCAAGGCCTTTATAGGTTGTCACGATCATTTTAAAACACTCCCATCATCCTATTATCCCCCTTTTTCAAATGTTCTTTATTTTCCAATTTCCAGCTTGCAAACATGTCTGAAAAAACAAGCATTTATTTTTACATAGCCTTTGCAGAAATGTTTACAAATAACAAATAATTGTTGTGATTTGCCAAATTGTGAAAAAAAATATTGTTATATGGTATATATAATTCAAGCAAAATGCAATATGTTGGTTAAATTTTTCAAAAAAGTTAAATTTTATTATAATTTTAAAATGTTAAATTTGATATATAGTGAGAATGAAAGGTAGGACTGTTAACATTTATTCTTTCATTGTACAAAACAATGTTTTTTTTGTGATCAATACCCTGAGTTTTGGCTAATTTAATTTTGTCATTCTTGTATTGATAGAATGTTCTTCATATTTTACAGTGACAAAAATTCAATTTGAGTTTGCAAAGCTTTTGATGATATTGAGTTAAAAAGTTATGTGGTACAGAAAAACTGATAAAAAAACAATATACATATTCAGATTGGAGATATTATTGCACATGAGTATGGTATCGAACCAAAAACTGTCTACCCACAAGACAAACATGCTGCAATGATATCACCAAGAGTGGTCTCTATAAAAAAAAGAGCTATTACAAGGGAGACAACTTCACATATATTTGTTGATGTCAATGATGTGAAATGTTTTGTATAAAAGTTAACGTTTTAGGTCTGTAGTCATGTGACTATAGAAGTACTATTTGCCTTGTAGAATTTTGTTATTATTTTTTAATGGTTTTGTCTGCAATATCTTAAATTTTACTTTTGATTGTTACTTATTTTATTTTGTAGATTTTATTATTACCAACAAACAATCCTTACTTTATGTAATTTTTTATTATTATTAGTACTGTACTTATTTTCATGGATTTCAGGGGTAAAGGTTAAGCATGATTTCAAATATAAAAAAATTTAACCCACAAAATAAAGTATCCAGGAAAAATTCATATTTTACTCAATCTACAAATATTATAACCTGCAAAATTAATGAATTCCCAGCAGCTTAAAGTAAATATTAATGCTGTTACTCTATTCTGTCGTATAATAATGTGTCCTTCCACCATCACACTTTTTAAGACTGACAAAATTGAAGAAATAAAAAAAAATAATATAATAAGGAAGTGAAATCGGCTCTTTAGAAGATTAATTAAAATCTTTTGCAACGGTTTTCCTCATGAAAATTTGATGTGGATTGGAACTTTAAATTTGGCAATGTAGTTAATATTAAAAATGAAGGTTTTCAGACCCCCCTTTCCCCTTGAATACTGTAAGGTAAGGTTTGTTGCATTAAACCCATTGATCTCTATACATTATTTTAGTCCTTAAAAATCTGTGATGTTGAAATTTTTATTTCACTGCTGATATTGAGTTTTATAGTCTTATTTTACAACATTGTGTTTTGTTGTTTTGTGACTAAATGTTTTGTTTGTAGAAAATTTCTGTTGATGTATGTTAGCACAGTATGCAAGCCATTTGACCAAGAAACACAAAATGTATTTTTAGCTCTGGTTTAATGAGCTCATAACTTAAGGACTTTTCCTAAATATTTTGTGACCCCTCTGGATTTTACCAATGCTTTGCCTTACTTATTTTTTACACTCATATTTCTCAATATTTGAACAAGAGACATCTCACAAACACTTATGGTAAATTTTTAAAACGCTTGTTATTCCTAACATAGTTTTTACACAGTTTAACATCCTTTTCTTCTGATATAGTTCATATGAAAAATCAAGACATATTTTTCCTGCCACAAATTCAAATTTTTCCAATGCTTGCATCTCAAAAACCAACCACATGGACATATGCTTCTTCTTTATGTTGTTTTATAATTTTTCTATTGAAAAAGACATAATTCCATGAAAATGTTGACATTTTTAATTTTAGCAGCAACTAGGAATATCAAACTCAAAATATCAGTTTTCATTTGTATGTGATTAATGAAGTAAAAGTGCATGCTGATTGTTTCCCAAATGTTATTTTATCAAGAAACATTTTGTCGGAAAAGTTTATGAAAACAATTTACGAACATAGGTCATTTGTTGTGGCTTTGATGAGTCATAGATTGACCATTGAAGTACTGATTTACAGTCAAATCAGGTAGTATTGTCCATCTAATAAGTCAGCATGCTTTTTTTATTGTATGATATAAGACGCTGACTTGTTCGACAGACACTATAGTCTTATTATTTCAAAATTGTAAAAAATAATGGTGCATATAAGATATCTGATCATGAAAAAAGGGTAAAGCTTGAGTACTATATTCAAGCACTACAATAAAGGTTGCATTCTTTACAATGGCTGTAGAAGAATTTTATGTTTTTTTGTTGTGATTATATAAGTTATTAATGAGATATGGATTGTCATTTTGATAATAATTATGATCTTGTTGAGATTTTATCCAATGTTATTTGTTTTTTGAAGATATATCATTATGTCATTTATAATTGTTGGTTATGTTTAGTAATCATGTCATGCTTGAGTTGTTTTACCCAGAATTCCCTTAAAAAATGTCAACCTAAAAGATTTTTTCAGTTTTCTGCCTTTAAGGAATTTCTTACATATGAGAATAGTATTCTTCTTACCATGAGCCTAGTAATTTGTAAAAAACTATCTAAACTTAAAATAATCCATTGTTTGAGTGTGTTAAATTCAAAAGTTCAGTCAATAAGTCAGTGTTTAATGAAAAACTGGGTCTTAGACCAAGTCGATATTAAACCAAAATTAACTCATCGTCTCATTCCGTTTTAGGCTTAAATTTAAATTTTTTTTCAGTAATTAAGAAAAAAGACAACAGTACAGAAAACACTACCCTGAAAAGTAAAGATTTATCAAACTTAACCCAACCAAATAAACAGGGATGAACTTAGGTTCTCTATAAAGGTATGCAGTTACTGCTTCAACAGTGACAACTGTCATCCTCCTAAAGACAAGCACAAATCATGCAATAAAATACAGATTTTGCAAAACAAATATCCGTAAGTATATACTTAAATTTAAATAAAAGAAAGACCAAAAGATTCCTTAAAAGAAATTTTAATTATGTTGCGAAAAAAACAATAAAACAGATTTTTAAAAACCAATATCCGTAAGTATATAATTTTATTTAAATAAAAGAAAGGCCAAAAGATTCTTTAAAAGAAATTTTAATTATGTTGCGAAAAAAATGTTCTTGTCACCTTATCTCATCGTGATTATTTTGAAACTTTACAAAAAGTAGTGCATATGACTACAATGAACTAATTCTTAGATATTCTTAAGAGTGCAGAAAACTGAAAAAAAATCTGTCTTGCAAAACCTGCTTTTTTCGATTGTCTTATATCAATGTTTTGTTTGTTTTCCATAATCATAATCATGCTTTTTACATATCATTAATTTCAAAGTTTACAGATATACCTCTGAAATTTTTATGTTATTTGTCAACAGTTTTAAAACTTTTTTTCTTATTTATTTTAAAGTCTGTGTACATTCCACAGGTATTTGTTTACTGTTTGTAAATAAAGGATTATAAGAAAACATTGGATATGCAAGAAAAAACTATTGTTGTGCAGTGCAAATAAATAAATAAAGAACTGAATGTATTGGTGTTTTTTTTTCTGCATCAGGCAACATTTTTGGGGGTAAAGATTGCCTGAAAACCCTTTGTTTTGGTGGTTTTGTTTATATCAAGTAAAATTTTTTTGGGGTAAAGATTATATTCATGCAATCAAAATCCTTATGTCGCTGGCTTGATAGTTTTCAATTTTCTCCAGACTTTATCACTACTTTTGAGATAAACAAAACATAGTGCATTGAACACAACATTCTGTACAACCTATCCATGAACAGTCAGGGGTCTAACTTAAACAAGTTATTAGAGAAAATAACAGGCATAGTGTTATTGTGGAAAATTATTAGAGTTGTCTTTCTTGTATAGTAATTTTGCAACAACATCCAAGTGTTATTATGGGCAAAAAGTAACATTGTGTGTACAAATCTATATTATCTAAAAGGTTGACCTCCCCTTATTTCTGAGATAACATGTAGTAGATATTAGGAGTTACTATTTTGGGAAAAGCAACACAATGATGACAGGAGGAGATAACTCCATCAGAATTCTAACACTAACACTATGTATGTCATTTTCTCTAATAACTTGTTTAAGTTAGACCCCTGACTGATGAACATTTCAAGAAATATTATAATCAATAAAATTTATGCTGAGATATTTATGCTACAAAATGATGTGGTTGCGTATAACCATAATTGCCCAAAAAAATACATAAATTGTGTATGGTGCATGAATCTAGTATCTCTTCTTAAAATATCAATAATGACATAGTTAATGTAGTATTTAAAATTGATCTAATTGTGCTTTTTCACTAATTTTCAATTTCAAGCACAAAACCACTGGAGATAAAAATTGAAAATAAAAATTAGAGCTTTATATAGACAAAAAACATTTAAAGAGATCTTATCTAGTATTCATGGACAATACAGGAAACAATTCATGAATTCCCCAAAATTTCTTTCAAGTCATCAGTATTCTATTTTAATCTTTTCACGTGCTATTTTAAAAAATGTCCACGCTAAATATAGTTAACATATTGGACATAGTTTCCAGAAACAGACAAAAACAGAGATGGAATCGATTTCAAGGTCAACATACCAGAAGAACATGTACACCACACAATCATTCCATACACCAAATGTAATTCACCTATTGCTTATAGTATCTGATAAATAGACCTCATCATGTAATTTTAACATATCTCAAGTAATACGATACGCTTGTATATGTTTACCCTATGTGGACTTCGTTAACAGGGTTATGCTCCTGACAGAAAACTACTCCGTCAGAGTTAAAAGGGAAAAACTACTGAAATCGACTCTACACAAGTTTTACGGTCACCATCACCAATTGGTTGACTGATATAATGTGTCTCAACTCCCTAGCGACATGTTTTCGTTGTCTTTGGAATCTTTAGATAACAGACTAATTGTCTGCTCTGTTAATTTACATATTGTGTCCTTTTTATCGATTTTGACGTTTTGGCTGAGTGTATATTCATATGATGGGTAATGCATGCTTATCAGGGGACGCTTACCCTGTCGATGCACATGATCACTGTCCTTGGGACAGTTTATGCGATTGCTTTAGTGTTTTCACCTTGATGTGTATCTTCCTAATGAATTTATGAAATTTGACCATCGATAAACTACTGTTACCTCTATTTCAAAACTATAAGCAACTGTCATACAAGTGGGATGTTTAGCCAGCCATAAAACCAGATTTTCTTCGGAAAATGCCTTTACAAAGTCAGGAATATGGCAGTTGTTTTTCATTTGTTCCTTTGGTCGATAGCGTTTGGTTTTGTCAGTGTTAATGGACTTCCTTTTTTTTTAATTTGATTAAGAGTTCGGTATTTTTGTTATACTATTTCATTAGGTCAGCAAATCAGAGTAACTAAATTAACTAAATAAGTACACCCTAAAGCAGTCCTTTGGACGATACTGATTTGTACTTTTTACAACCCATGAGTATTATTTACTGCCAAAGTACTAACTTCGGTAAATACGCATATGCATTTGGATGGACATGTAATTGGTGAAGTAATTCTCTCTAATCAAAAGAACTAGTTGTATTTGAATTTTAATACATTTGTACATTGATACAATCAATTCATGACTTTCTTATACATATATTATGCATTTTGTTTACATTTGTAATTTTTGGTTTCAAAGCATTTTAACATCGTAAATGATTTAGAGTTCCAACTGTTCAGAATCGAGTGTCACTGATGATTGGTCTTATTCAGACGAAACGCGCGGTTTGCGCACTTAATTTTAAGATTTGTATCTTTAATAAGTTTTTACACATGTTAGGGAGCTACCATTTGATTTTTATGGGGGGGCTAGGATGAAATTTGAAAAAAATAGGCAGGACAGTTGTTTTGAGTAAAAAAAAGGTAGGATGAGCAACTTGGTAAAAAAAAAGGCAGGATGACAATTTGTGTAAAAAAATTCAGGATAAACTAGTAAAAAAAAAAAGGCAGGACCGAATAGAGTAAAAAATAAAAAGGCAGGACAGAGATTACAACTAAAAAAAAAAGCAGGTCAAAATTTTTCATCCTAGTCCCACCCCCCATAAAAATCAAATGGTAGCTCCCCTACAGTCATTGGATAGTTACTGCTTCCGGTTCGCGTCTTGTCTACGAATGTTTAACAAGCCCAGATGAAACGCTTCTGAGCTGACATAAAATTGTATTGAAGTGGTTCTTGTCTGCAAATTTACTGTTTATAAAATGTTAGAATCATTCGAAACACTAATGTCATACCTATAGGCTTATATACCAATACTGCATTAGTCATTTAGCACAACTTTTTAGAATTTGGTATTCAATGCCCCTAACCATAAGCCTCGTAAATGATTTGGACTTAACTGTTCTGATGCGAGCTTCACTGGTGTATCTTATGTAAACGAAATGAGCGTCAGGCCTAGTAGAGATTTTCAATAAAATAACATACGTACGTAAATCGACGTACGTTCCTAATTGGAACGGTTATTGCCAACGTATGACTTTTGTTAAATACGTCGCTCAAGTTTAAACAATGTATTCCAAGACTTATAAATCATATCATTTCCGTCAATATTAAATAATTTTAAAATGACGAAAAAAGATAGAAATCATGTATTTTTAATCATCACGTGATTCTTCAGATTCCCGCCATAATTTTCATCGATATAAGATCACGTTTAAACTGGTATCCCTTATCATACGATCGATTTGTGTTATCTTTTATGGTTTTGATTGTGAGAATTGTTTTTCAAATATACTTTGCAGACTAAGGGATCATAGATTTATTCTTACGAGGAGGATGCTCGGAGCTTTTAAAGTAGGCTCTTTTCTGCAGTTTATGTGATAACAATTATCATGATCCATTAAGATGTCAATCAAATTTGTAGCACTTCTATAACAAGGAATGTAGAGCATTATAGAGGAAGCTCAATTACCACCTATGTAAACATCTGGTCTATTCAAAATGAATCGTGCATGATATTTTACAAAACTATAAAATAGATTAGAAATTCTTCAATAGTACTGTACAATGCTTCAAAAGAAATATCAAGTCTCCACAATACAAAAAAATACTAAAATTTTATATTTTAAATATAAAAATAGCTTATTTATACTATATAAAATGAAACATAAAAGTAATCAAAGACAGAAACATGGTAATTGTTTTATAATCATTTGTTAAACTTTATATGCAATAGCAAACTTCTTAAATAGAAAATGATGGCTACTTTGGGAAAAGTTGTAATGTATAGGCTAGGTTAAAAGACTTTTCACAATATAATAGTTAGGATACATTGTTTTTAGTTCAGCATTCCTCTATATCTTTTTCTTGAATAACATTTTTATACGACCGCAAAAATTTATTGGGATCCTATATTGCTATCACGTTTTCGTCTGAAGACATTAGGTTTCCAGACAATAACTTTAAGTTAAGTGCATGGATCTCTATGAACTTAACCAAGAGGTTCAATACCACAAAAGGAAGGTTGGGATTGTTTTGGGGTGTGATGGTCCCAACCATTTAGGAATTAGGTACCAAAAAGGGGCCTTAAAAAACAAGCATTTTTCTAATTTCAAGACAATAACCTGAATATAAGTATTATGATTGCTCTGAAATTGTAACGCAAGGTACAGGTACAATGCCACAAGTAGAAGGTTTGGTATCATGTTGGGGGTAATTGCCCAAAACCATGTAGGAATTAGGGGCCAAAAAGGATCTAAAACAAGCATTTTTCTAGTTTTCAGACAATAACTTGTGTTTAAGTGTATTGATGTCTCTTAAATTGTACCACATTTTACAAAAAGAACATTTCTTCAAATGTTATTTTTTTTTTGGAAAAAGTGGGGTGGGGGAGGTGCAATTTTTTTTCAAGGTTTTCTTCAAATATTTTTCTGCAAAAGGAGGAGGTAAAAATAAATTTAGAGGGTGGGGGTCAATTTTTTTTTCCTCAAGATTTAAAAAATTGACAATTTTCCAAAGAAAAATTGGGCTAATTCTTTTAATATAGTCTGAAAACAGATTAACTAAGCATTGCGCAACAGCACAGTGTATTGGACAATAGCAAGAAATCTTCAATTGAATATAAATTCAAATCATATAACCAATTTCAAGTTCTTTTACTACATTTATTCTGTGTCAGAAACCTATAATGTGTCAAATATTTAATTGCAATCCAAATTCAGACCTGTATCAAGCTTGAATATTGTGTCCATTATTGCCCCAACTTTCAGGGTTGGACCTCTGCGGTCGTGTCCAGCTGCGCTCGGCGAAGCAGTTTATTAAATTTGTTTTTAAGATAATTTAACAGATTCAGTGGACCAAAAATGTTATAACAAAAATGTATACTTTGTACTGGAATCCCTTTTGTCTATGCAATACAACTTCTTTTCTCATAACATTTTATATATGATATCCACAGGAAAGTATTGAAAAGATATTTTATTGATACTGTTTATGTTTAAAACATTTATACACAAATTAAATGGAATTAATAAGAAATTATGAGCTTATATAATT